CCAGAATAATTTGTCATTTGACCGAGAGGGTATTCCTTGGGGTTACACCACCTTGGTCGTTTAAAAAAGTCGAATTTTTGTTTGTTTAAAGTCTAATAAAATGTAAAGTCGGCAGAAAGATAATTACATTACTAGAATCTAAGCGATAGATTATTCGTGTAATTAAAAAATAGGAAACGAAGAAGGCAAGGTATATTTGATGGAAAGATCTCATGGAGCTCAAAGCTGCCTCAAAAGAATGTGTTAAAGCCAAATGTTTTGCTTTCGTTGCTCTCATTAGACTAAGTTGCATTTTAGTAGACGAACCCTGAGAAGTTTAACACCGAGTATCTCGTAAACTATTAACCGTCTACCCCAGAACCATATATATTGGTGTTACACTTAACGACCGCAGCTTTAAATACATGCAATTAATCGGCGAATAAATTCCTGGACGTGCGAAACAAATTATTGGAGTAGAAGGGTTCGACGCGGTATCGCATCCGCGTGTACAGTTCAAGCTGTAACAGACTATTATCAAAGTAAAATTATCTAAAACGGGCGCACAACTTATATATCTACAACGAGTAATCAGAACGCGTAACCGTGTTCGATTAAACATTAATAACAATTACGGTTCAGAATAAGTATTCACTCGAGACATTAATTGTTTAACTTTACACTCCCGCGTTGTAAGAACTTTTATTCTTCGGTTTCTTTACGGGCGAAGCTTAAAGCACCAACATCCGGTGATAAACCTTTACGTACTTATTGTTAGCATCGATAGTCGAGAACTGCTGACCCCTCGCGCAGTACTGTGCTAAACTTTGGTTAATCCTTTTAGTTCAGGGAGTAACTATAATCACATTCCACCAAACGATCACGGTACCCAGAGAGTGACTGTAACCACCGTCTACGGAATGCTTGCCGATGCCAAAGGGCGACTATAACTATCAGAGTTTCGTCGACCGCAGCGCGCCATTAGTGAATCGACATTGGCATATCGCAAAAGGGTAAGTTCCAGACATGTGGCATTAGGCAAATTTTGATTGAAATGAAAATAAGGAGTGAGTATTTGGGAATTCATCTTCGAAACTCGAGATCCGTACTTGTGATTTCACCTGATACAAATTCAAAGAACAATTTCACAATTACTTTAAATAATATGTTATTGCTAGACTGCAGGTTTTATGCATTTATGGCGCATAATAATATAGAAAATATACATATACTATACATAACTTATGTTTATTTATTTTAGTTTGCATAAGCGCACGAAATATCGAGTTATTTCGCATAATATTTCAAATAATGTTATAAAACAATTATGAAATATAGTAACGTGTTATTTAAAATTATACTTCGTATTACCTGTTCGTACCTGTTCTCTTTTCGTAATCTCCGCACACGTATTCAAAACTGTCAGCAAGATATCGATCGCCATTGATCGTTCGACCGCCTACCCGATAGTTGAACTCGGGCTGAAGCAATTATGAATGCCACGGCGACACCTCTTGACACCTCCGTTTGAAGCCGTGGATTATATTCATCGACCACATGGACCAAAGGCCCTCAATTCGGACCGATGCGATGTACAGAGCCGCCCCCGCGCCGTTTCCGCAAACGATCGCTACCGATTCCATTTCTCCGATCACCTCTTTTCGAACTACCGACTCGAACCAACCACGATACCATTCGAATACCGTCAATCGCGACCACCATGACCAACTACATCCGCCATTGACCCAGGGGTCGATGGTAATCGAGCGTCACCGGCTGTAACCGATTTCGTATCAGACGGACAACTGTAATGGAGGGCTACAGGCCGATCGCGATCCGAATGACTGACTGCAACGGAGCTCGCCGACAGCAACTGAACGCTATCGTATGATTTACGCAGTTTTGCGATCGATTGGAAGTAGTCGACAGCTTTTGTTACCGATCAAGCGTGATCATTGTAAAATTACGCTGTAAATTAAAGATCGACGTCGACTATGTATGTTATATATTGCAATTATTGAATGTGAAAAGTATCGTGATATTAAATTTTGATATGAAAGAAAACCTATGCACGTGTCGATATGCTTAAAGGATAAAGCCCCATTGAAACCCTTTATTCTAGACACCTGTGAGGAAATCTTTTGTCTAGAGGCATCCGCTCACCAGACCCAGGATAATTCGTGCTTTAAAGCACTCGGTTCCCAAGATTTGTGGGCTTAGCGGTTCGTGTAAGGCGCGAGGAGATAGCGGGTTAACATGTCTTTGAACTCGTTTCCAAAGCGAACCTGTAAACGCTTTCAATTAAGTCGACCCAGAGTCACCCAGTCGAGGGAAAATAGACTAATTCGCTACCTTTACCCCATCCCTGCAACGTACTTTAAACGAGCGAATTTACCGAAACCAAAGAAGACGAAGTCGATCCGAGAAGCTTTCTCAAACAGTCGGTTGGAACTTGCTAGGAATCCACCAAGTGTCTAACGCCGATTTTGACGAAACTTTGGAGTTCTGCGGACGACCCAGGTGTCAGGGACACATATATCCTTTTAGCTGCGGCAGCGCAAGTTTAAATGGTGACTCATCTCCAGAGATTCACCTTTGATCCTGTCCTTTCCAACTATCAAACTATTCGAGACTAAATCTTTCGCTTTTTAGAGAACAGATCATCGATCTATATTCAAATTGGAAACAAGGAGTCCCATAGTCTCAGAATATTTCATACGACTGTATTTGAATTCTTTTCGAATTATTCGATTATCAAAGTTAATTAAAATTTGTCAACTATCTAAAAAATTTAACCTCTCGTGCGACGAATTATAATACTGCAAAATACAGTATATTACAGAAGAGATTTGAAAAGTACAGCTTAAAACTGCAATATACGGAATATTCAAGCATCAACAGAAAATCCTCTTTTAGATACAAACAGCATGTCCGCGCATAGAACAAACAGGAACTACCATTACAATACCAGTGTAGAAGCTTGGTGTATCCGCAATAGTTGGCGAGGAGCCTTTCTAAATCTCGACCGTCTCCGCCGGACGATGCGCAAGTTGATTAACTGCAATTCACAGGGTAATTCGAAACTCTGCCTCGCAATATAATGCCACCAACTGCCACCAGCTGTCAATCCCGTAGCTTAGGGGATACGAGGGAACGGTCAACCCCATGAACCTCTTCATCCGACCCCTGCGGCACCATTTAAGCCATGGTGATGCCTTCGTGGCGCCATCAGCGCCATTTCCAGTCATCTCGCTGTTCTTAGTATCAACAAATTAAGTTCCAGTATGTATGAACGCTAACCTTTAGAAGAGCCTAGTACGTCATATTCAGATAATCATCGCGATCTCTTTTGTAGCCTTGCTGTCTTAAAATTAATAACGTAATCAAAAATAACGAACGGTCTGAATTAAAAACGACGAAAGTCTAATTAAAATAGCAACCGAGGGAAGAGCAATTCAAAAGTCCACAATGAAAAATGAAGCATAAAGTGACTATGGCGCTGGTTTATCAGGCCGGTCTGAAGTTATTGATTTTTTTACCTAGTGTTTTGTTTTCTTACTGCAATGCGGTGGGGGCATACGATTGCTCTTCAGCTAGAAACACAGTGGTTAGGTTATTTGAATAACACCCTTTCCGATAATAGAGCATCCACTCTACCATAGCCCTCGTATATTCCGTTTAAGCAAACATTAAAAATACCGTGCGCGATCTATTTCGTGAAATTTACGATCTGCGGGGATAGCCGAGGGGACAATTTGCTCACCGTGGCAGGCGATTACAAGTACAGAATTCGATTTTCCACGACGTAAGTAGCCACTTTGTCGTTGTCCCTCTTACTTTCTCAATCTCTCTCCGTGGTTCTAAAATAGCTTTCTCACTGTGTTGCTATTGATATCGCGTTAGTGTTATGTGGACTGAAGGGGATCAATACTTCGGCACTCTCGATGCCTTTGGAGGCTGAACGCGACCATGAAGATTCCTTTGTAATAACCGCAAAACCTTTGATGAAGGATTCTCTGTTATCATCAAGCTCTACTTCCTCTGCTTTCGTCATGGAAAGTGGATCGACTTCCTCCGGGACGGTATGCGCATTTTAAGGAATTTCAGTACGGTCTACAGAAGAAATCGACTTTGGTGGTAGATGAAATACCAGAAACGAAATCTCGGACCCGTCTTCTTGGGGAAGCTGTTACTGTTGACGTTTTGATCTTACATTACGTTCGAAGATTCGTTGTATTTTAACGGGGGACTTATTTCTGACTTACTAAATAGATTATTTTTGTTAGCATCTTGAGGGATATTGCCGTTATTTATCACGATACTTTTTTCAATTAAAACAATAAAATATTAAAGCGAGACTGTGTATACTTTATACAGGGTGAATTGAATTAGTGTAAGAACCAGAAATGGGGGGTAGCTGAGACGATTCTGAATGACAAATTCCTTTGCAAAAATGTCAGACGAGGCTTCGTTTTTGAATTCTTAACGAAAACTGGAGTGACAGGACTGACTGGTTTTAAGGAATGGTTTTGACCATTCCTATATATTCAGACCTGTGTACCACCTACCAAAAATCGACACGTACTTTCACCAACCCCTTTCACCATTGCTCGAATCAACATGTTGGTCAAGTCTTACAAGGGAAAGCTCAGAAGTGATACTCACCGATTGCAATGAAATTTGGTGCCAGCCATGTTAGAGAAAAGTTAGTTTAAATATGTAGTAAAAACCCATGCTAGCCGCTATGCCGCTGACCTATACCACTTGAAGTCGTGTTAGCAATAGTAATGCATCCCGTTATGGGCTTTTATTACATATTTAAACTAACTTTTCTTAAAAATGGCTGGCCATTTGCGGCTAATATTACAGTTACGCTTATTCTAGATATAGATCTACCACTCTACCAAATTTCATAACAATCGGTGAGTATCACTTCTGAGGCTTCCCTTGTTAATCAAGCAGCAGATTCATGTTTTAATTCGAATTAACCCGTTCGTTGATAGTATCGAGGCGTAACTCACCCGAGTGGGCTCCGTGCGCAGATGTAGCAGGCGCGGGTGGCACCAGGCCGGTGATACTGTATAGCGTCTGACCGCTGCCATACTTGATGCCACCACAGTGGCAGGGTGTCGTGGGCGTAGGTAGACCCTCGCTGCCCCTGGTAGTAGCACCAATCACCGAAATCTCGTCTAGCTCATGGCCGCTGTCATAATGCCATAACCTCGTCGCACTGGTGCTGGCACCACCGCCGCCGCCGCCACTGCCTTCCCCACCGCCAGTATCTCCTCGGCCACCACTGTTGCCCCTGGCACCACCGCTGCGGCCCCTAAGCGACTGCACCAGCCGCTTGGCGCTCGAAGACATTCCACGAAGGTGATCCAGCCTTCCGGTCTTTTCTACTTCCTGTCTCTACCGAAGTCGCTCGTCCACGCGACCGAGGATATCCACCTGTAATTTTTAATTTCAAGGGTGATTATCTGTTCAAACAAAATTGTTCTGTGGTGGAAGCCCCAGTAGTTGACGCTATCAACTTTTTAGAGATATATATTGTCATTTATGTTTGGTGAGGATACAACAGTTTTATTTTGTACACGCGTTACCGAATCATTGAGCATTTCAGATTTTAGAGCAATACTTCAATCGATACGATGCTATTTTTTATAGTAAAAAGTTATCGCCGATGTACGTCAGTGCACGGCATCCCCAAAACCCCGAAGAGCCACTAACACCAGAACAGGAATTTACTCACCACGCGAGAATATCCGTCCCACCAACGATAGTCTTCCGGCTGGGAGATCCAGGGATAGCCACGGGCACAGAACCGCGACCGATGTCACTGATCCGAGCACACTGCGACGCCCATGTTCTATGATCGCCACGATTTCGATTTCTTGTATCGCGCGCGACAAGAATCGAATCAGATTTTACGGATACTTGGCAGAGCGACGCGACACGAGCACGGTAATCCCTGGCCAACGCGACACGATCAGCATCACAGGATCAACGCCTAATTTGCATCCTACTAACGGACGATCCTCGACGCGGAAGCACTGACACACATCCGGCGAGCAACGACGGAAGGACGTACGAGCGGCATTTCACCAGTACGCCGAAGAACGCGGAACGAACCGAAATTCACGGCACGAACGCGTTGCTCCCTTTTCCTTGGACGTTGACTAATCCCTTTGCGTTGACGGAACACTTCCTGTGGGTAGCCTTCGAGAGACAACCGACCGTGCAACAAGTGTCACCCAGCTACGACACTCGTCTCACGTGTTCACCTACTCCTCCTTCAACTGGTCGAGGCGATGCACTTGGGGCTCCTCCTTGTTGTTCACCTCGTCGATAACAGTAGCAACGGCCACCTGCCCTTTGATCGACGTATCGTGTCGCGACACCTGGAACAAGAAAGTGCGCGTTAGGAATGGCGTCTTACGATCGCCACGGTTTAACCCTTTGCACTCGAGAGGTGACTCTCACTCTAGGATTCACGCAGCAAATCTACCAGCAGTTATGTTTCTTTATGTTTAATTTCTTTGGAACTCGAAGTGTCGATAAAATGACAATCGGGCTACGTCGTCGAAGTCAATCTAAGATTAGCATTCGTGGCAATAAAATGCTAAGAAAGCATCGATTTGCTGGCAGATGCGGGAAAAGAGACCTCGAATGCAAAGGGTTAACACGTTTGAGCGCCACACGTGTCCGTCGTGGACTTGTCCTGAATTTTATTATCTTGTCTTTGTCTTTGAGGGAGCTGATTCGAAATGTAAACTCGAAATTTAGAAATTCTAAATGGCGTATCCAATATGACAGGACAAAACGCGAAAAGTGACTGGAAAGCTGGGAGAAAATAAGGAATTAAGAAAAAAAAATACTTAAAAGTGTTCTCTCACATAAATTTTATATATAACAAAACTTCCAAAAATGGTGAGACTTGAAGAGTACTATGCGAAGACTAATTGAAGACATTGCTTCGTCGAAGCGTACCGACCCAGTTGTGCAACAAATAATAACAACGCAGAAATTGTTCCGTCGGGCTAGCTGCTAACATCGAAAAAACTAACTTTAAATTTAGCTCGGCTGCGGAATATAACAAGCGTTCGAAATTACTAGGTTGTTGCAGATAAAATGGCCACATTTTCAGGGAAACCTCAAACTCGTATAACTTTGTTACAAACAAACTTTTTAATCGAATTAAACGCTAACAGATACGGTGCACATCTCCCGACGAGATGCGAGCGTATCCATTGCACGTAATTAATTCATCGAAGTCTGCGTCCGTTGAACTTCTTTTCTTGAATATTATTATCTTCTTCAAGATGTGATTCGAACGTTTAAAAATGGCATTATTGTTGATTACAGTTGATTACGTGTCCAGTAGGAAAGGTTTCATATTGGAGATTTCATGTGGATTACATACCGCAATTTTCATAACAAGCACGAATGTATTCCGCGGATTGCAAACGATAGCTCCGAAATAACACATTATAATATCAGTATTCAGTTAAACGAGCACGAATGAAATCTGCGTCGCGTTGAATTTCGATCGTTCGATTAAAAACAGTTTCATGATGTTTGTCCAGTGCATAGGACCGATATTCTACTGCAAAACGTTCGACGACACGTACAACTCCCCGCGATACGGTTAGTTCGCGCAGATCGAGCTAATGGAGAACGATCCAGCAGCAAGAAAGGCAAAAAGAAACAGCGGCCAGCGGTCCGATAATTTCGCCCGCTCGACGCTATGTTAATTACCGGGAAACAAGAACGTTACCAACCGTTTTATTATTCCGTTAGCGAATCGCCATGTTCCACGGCGCGTTTGATGAAAAATTCGAGTCTAAAAATTGGAATGTTTTTCCTCTATTTGCTGTCAGCCAAAACGTTCCATTCGCCTCGATTTTCACCGTCGTGTTTTCAGCATGAAAATTACTCTCCAACGTAAACACGAAAACATCACCGGATGCCATAGGCAACTACTCTCGCGTTATCGATCGGCAGTTAAAAAAATTCACTGGCTACGAAACGGAGACGGAATCTTTTCTCTCGGCACGAATCGAACGTGTTTGCCTTAACTCGAAAACGCGATCCGACTAACCCGTGCATAACTTCGATGCTTCGGTTACCTCGTGTTTCTCGAATATCACGAATGGAAAATTGAGTTCTCGTAGGAGGGCCTTGGACTGTATAATTTTCATTCTGTTCTGGCTGAAGACCGGAAGGTTGATGTCGCAATTAGTCTCTGGTCTAATGTGCAATGGGAAAAATGCTGTCGTCTCTAACGAGACATTCCTATCGAGAATTATGACACGTCTCGTCAGCCACGCCGAACAAAGAGAAACAAAAGAAAAAGATACACGTCGGTCATATTTGGGCAACGTACGCAGATAAAATACCCAAGCAACGCTTCTCTTCCCATTCGATTTACGAATTTTTAGATTTCGAATTGAAAACGTATTCTTATCGAAATAAAACATAGCCTGTGTTACTCTGAGATAATAGTTATTTTGGGTAGCATCGTTAACTTGACATTGTTCTCCTAATAGAGGTATAGTTCAAACCGATGTCACGTTTGGAATACTCTGCCAAGTTTCCTCTCGCAGTGTACACTCACTAACTGCTTCCAACGAACTACGCGAGAGATTATGCTTCGGTCATGTCGCAAGTACGCTCGGTAGATGACATCGCAACTACGTTACTCGAAATAACATTGGAAGTGACGGGATCGATATACTATATCAATTTTAATCTTACCCCGAAAAATCTCCGTTTTCGATTCGAGGGTGGATTCGACTTAACCCTCCGCGAGTTCTAAGCCGTGCACTCCTGATTTAACGCTTCGCAGAAGCCGGTAAATATATCAACGCGCTTTGTTGGCGGAACCTTTAATATCAGCATGCTTTGTTACTCGCATCTTTACTATCGACGTGCTTTGGTATATTCAAAGAACAATGGCGTTCCTTGCGCCCGTGTACGAGTGGGCGTTCAAGTGAATTCTTCGACATGAAAGTAAACGTTTAGCCATTGAAGTATCCAGAATTCGCGTCTCGAGCGATCGAGAAATCTGAAATTCAAACAAGCTATGCATGGAACGAAGCTCGAAAATTTGATAACACGAAACTATGTTTCCAGGTTCGAAAGCTTTATTCATCGGATACTTTTACTATTTAATAAATTACGTATTCGCATAGTTTAGAGCGCTTAAGCTTCTCGCGAAAAGTCCTTTCGATAATACTTCTTTTTAACGCGGGAAACTTTGAATGTTCCATAAGTTTCGGAACGTAGCAATTTCCTGATATTCCGTTTCCATCGAGTTCCGCGACTTTCTGTGAAGTCAGCCGACGGAACTGAAAGGAAACAACTAAAATTGAATACGGATCTGCGTTTCAACTCGCGGGGTAGTTTCCCCGGCTGTACGTGTCGGAAGATGCATCATCCCGCGATTCAGTCGCGGGGTTGTACGACTTGGAAAAAGTTTGCGGCGGAAGCGGAATCGGCTCGCGAGGAATACCGTTTCCTCGTCGATCCGAACGACTAGCTGTTGTGCAAATGGAATTTTCCACTTTCCCGCGAACTTACGTCGCGGCGATAGTAAATCAGTGAATTTAATCAGTATAGAGGTTCGACGGACGCGGAAATTTCATTCACTGTTAGCGGAGGTGGATGCTCGCATAAAGTGAAAATGATTAACCGGGAAGCCTCCGTCGTGAAGTTTTCCAATCTCGTAAAATGGTCCGCGCGATTTCAAATGTCGAATTATCCATCGACGTTTCAGGATCGGGAGGCTCAAGTTTCATTTGGGACGCGCGTAACTTGTCATAATTAAATTTCGGATGGGCCGAATAAATCCTTTTAAATCGGATCTCTATATTCGTCGACGGAAACGGATACGAAAACCACCGAACCTTAGCGCGATTTCCATTTCGGAAATTGAATTTACAAATTAAAATCTCATGTAAACGAGATGTCGAACTGGAATCTGAGTAATCTTTAACTCTTCGTAGCTCAGTGTGACACTTCACCGGGAGTCTATTTATAGACTTTTTAATCGCAGTATTTGGCTATTCGAATTTATTTACTGCGTCGATGGTTGTCTGCTTACAATGTTCAGTTTTTGGAAACAGACTTGGCTTTCAATGTACCTAGTAACGATACGGAGGAATTATTGTCAGCCTAGATTGACATATGTTACTATAGAAAGTGTTAAAATAATACATTATCGAACGAATAATAACATGGTATAACATAACATGCCTGAAAGGTTCAAAACGTCCCCAGTAATTGAATTTATATAATTGATGATAAAATATTGAACTTTTATTTAAAACGGTAGGCGGCTTCGAAAACAGCGTTTCGAAATGGATTTTTCCAACGGTTCCAACCGTCGTCCGACGAAAGCGAAGTGCTTTTCGCGAAATCAAATCAGAACATTCGCAAACCCACTTTACGTAAGCGTTGCATCCGACGCGCGACGCTGCAACGTGTCAACGCAATAGGATCGTTTCCGCTGGGGGGGTCCGGTGAATAATTCGGCCAATATTGTCTGGTATTCCAAAGCGGGTGTTACGCGACGACGCCGACGTCTCGAGAGACATTGGCGTAAGCACCTGTGCGTGCACGTCGACGTCTATAGTTGCCATAGCGACTCTTGCTGGAGCCCGTGGTCCCATCGGGTTCCACTACATCCTGGAATAGACCGTGGATCGTACCAAGTGCTCCGAACAATATTAAATAGCGCGCTGGAGCTACCTTTGTCTGAATCTATTGTTTGCGATTTATTGTGTCGCTGCGATACGATCTGATTGGCTCGGGAGTATTGGTTAAATATCCCCGCCCGACGGGGATAACCGGCAGAACTTTACATTCAACTGGTATTATTTATTGCATTATTATATTGTAATACATTTATCACCCGAACACGTAACCCCTAAAAACGATCGATTTCAGATTTCTCAACGTAATTTTTTAGAAAAACCCTCGTCAGATTAAAACTCGTATTCTAAAACTGCCGGTAATAAACGATTTGTCGATACAAAAATTACGCAATCGATCGGAAAAATCCAGTACATGAAATCATTTTTCGGCTCGAATACAAATTGTAAAATTCTATGTTTGGTACACGTCATGTCATCTTGTTGGCGATTGTAACGTTATGAAAACAAATGTCAACGGTATTAAAAAAACAAAACGAAATGTTATATTTTTAGATGTTGAAAAGATCGATTGGATATTGCGGAAAAAACAGAACTCTGTTAAAATCGTGAACGCCTTATTACGTGCTGATTCGGTATCGATTGCTTCGCATACCGAGAAAATTCATATTATTTTTTATCCCCGTTGAAAAACTTTAATAATCTACTCTTTCGCGATATGTCTGACCTTAGAAGAATATTCTATC